GGTATCACTCCGGAAATGCCAGTATATTTGTGTAAACCCACTTAAAATCCTTCACTTATTATATTCTTTGTTCATAATAACTATTCTAAAATAGGTAGTATAAAAATAACTCTCCCCAACGTATTTACTTAGTTATAAAAACAAGCTCCGTTGTAAAGTACACTTCGAAGAAATAAAGTCATTAATTTATTGAAATAACATAAAAAGGTCAAGATGAAATAAACAGAACCGTCCACAATAACAAACCATGTATTTTTGCAATAAGAAACTAAAGGATTCCCTTTTCTTTGAGCGATATTAATGTCCCAAAGAATTATTCTGATTCCTTTTTGTTCTCCACACGCTCGGCAAGATCCGCCATATTTGTTAAATGTCGGAACGCAACAAATGTCAAGAATTAAATGCTCACTGGCTTGTAGAAATATGAATTTCTTATTATTTATAAATGTATATCCATTTTTCTGTTTCTTTGATTGTCATGTTTTATATTAAAAATGTTTGTTAGTGATTATTATTACAAATTGTGGTATTGTTTTTGTATAGGTACGCTCACTTTTCGGGTACATACTTCTGTTAATATTTACCTACCGCCTCGTTTGTGGGACGGTCGTCAAAAGCAAACAGTTTCAGTTTTAATTCTGTAAAAAGTTTTGGGATTGCGACATTCTTTTTTTTTATACTTGATAGATTGACGTTTGGCCACCATCTTGCCTAGTAGTAAGCAATGATGTGGCCAACAATGCACGTCTTCTGCACGCTGTATGCCAGTAGACTCACCCACTATTAAAGTTAATGAAAAAAATACTAAAATTTAATAAAACAAAGTCTATTATTGAGACTTAAATAATATGAAATAAGTTACGGTGAAAAAAGTAATTAAGTGTTTCATTGTATCCGAAGATTAAAATGCCCGAAGGACCTGTATGTCATGTTATTACATTAAAAGTGAATGCAATTATAAAAAAAAACCTTTCATCATATTTGCTTTAAGAGTAAAGGCATATATACTTCAATAACAATGTTTTTAAGAATACGTTGTAATGAAAATTTGTTTTTATTAACTTTGAAGTGTTTGTGTTGACAAAATGTGCAATATATAAAAAAGGCTCAGATGTAGTACTTTCTGATTTATATTATTTTGAATGAGTTTGTTTACTCACTCTTTTTGCCCCTCCTTTTATTTACAAAGATGTCATTTAGAGAAATCAAATTCAATTTATTTGGGTAGATACGTACTTATTGTAATATCTTGCGTTTTTAATTAGCATTTATATATTGTGCCTCACTGCTTTGACTGCCTCGACTGACTGTCTCGTTGGCCGAGTGTTCGCAAGTGCGATTGCCGGGCAAGGGGTCTCGTGTTCGATTCCCGGGACGGGAGAAATAATAATGGGTTTTTTAAAAATTCTCAGTGGTATTACGGAGTCTGGAATTGTGCCCGGTATATGGAAATAGGCTTACCCCCTATTACATAGGACTCATAACATAAAATAATAAAAAGTGGATGTTGCATGGTACAGTGGCATTAAGTGCCACAATGTGCACTTCTGCCTTCGGGGAAGAAAGGCGTAATGTTATGTATATATTACTAAAACTAGCTACTTCCTCGCGGTTTCACTCGCTCTGCTCGGCGCCTATTAATCGTAGCGTGATATTTTATAGCCTTTCTCGATAAATGGGCTATCCAACACAGAATTTTTCAAACAAACAACAAAAAAACAAACTTTTCAGCTTTATAATATTAGTATAGATTATTATTCATCATGGTTTTCATTATAATCCTCAACAGCGGGTTACTGTCCACTGCTAGACCATCAAGTGGCTTCATCTACTTAAAACCATTTACCATAATCGCCAAACTTGGAAGATCAAGTTTTAACACTAGGTTCCCAAACTTATTTCGTCTAAGTAGACAGTTCTCATTTATCAAAGATCGTTGCTGCCTGGTCATATTAGTATTAAGTAGTTCCTTAGTCACGTCTTGAAATACCCACGAGTAAATTAATTAAGATGGTGACAAATGTATTCCATTCTACTTCTACGAATTACGATATAAATTACTAAAATTATATTGGCAACAAGCTGCTTCCCACGACCTCATTCGCGTAGAATATGAATTTTTGAGCATAACGTTTTTTTATTTTATTTTCCAACTAGCTGACCCGGCGAACTTCGTACCGCCTAACAGTCATTTAATGTCGTGTTACCTTTTAGAGGATCTAATTTAGGTTTTGATGAACGTATCTAGATAATAAATTGAATTAGTATTACAAACAGACACTACATCACGTCTTCTTAGCAAAACTACACAGAAACTAAAGTTAAACCTTTGAAGTAATGTTCTGTGGTAGATTTAATCAAACTTAGATTTATACAGACCTACACACATCTAGATAACAAATTATACAAAACCAGTATAAACTGGCCGTCGAAAGTATGGAAGGATCATACAAAGCAAGATCATGATAAACTGGATCTGTATAGTTCGATGTGTAGCCGTGTATCAGACGACTTGCATTTTAAGGAGAAGTTTTAGACAATCCAAGTTGTTCCCAAGTTAGTGCAGCACTGTGGTGCAGGTTTCATTGTTTTATAAGAACTTCATTTTGTATAGCAAAGCCTTCAACTTGAGACTTATTCCAAGTTTTCAAGTAGAAGAAAGTTAAGACTTCGACTATAGTCTTTATTCTACTTATAATTATTAAGAGGGAAGGCATTATCGTTCTTTTTGAGGGCGGAAAATCATCCAAAGACTTCTCCCGTCTCGGGTTAGGCTTTTGCGTTGCGTTAGGCTTTTGCATTGTGTTAGGCGTCTTGGGTTAGTTTTTATTCTACTTTTAATGAATAAGAGGGAAGGCATTATAGTTCTTTTTGAGGGCGGAAAATCAATCAAAGACTTCTCCCGTCTTCGGTTAGGCTAGAGGGAGTACCAGACTCTTACTGACTAAAACCCACCCCCTTCCTAATCCTGTTCTTCAAGCTGGAGCCCCGGCAGCTCGATATGCCTTTCGCGGCTTCATATTGGGCATCAGCCCTGGGTCCCCATCTGTGGTGGTCTGATGGCTATTTGAGGCGCACGCGAAATGCGACGCGGTATACGCACGGGTCTGGTTCTGATCGGACCACGAGCTACGCTTGTGCTCGCGGTCTGCAGACCCAAACGCGTCATAGCTACTATACAAAAAATAACCTAACGGGTTAGGTACTAGAGCTCTGATTCAACGCAGGAGTAGGAACGGGATGGTTTTTTGTCAGTAAGAGTCTGACACTCTCTCACCTCACCCAGGATTGGAGAAAGCATTTGATGATTAAAAATAGGCAAATGTGACAAGTGTAAGGTATTTTAGTCGAAATTAGTTATCTACCTACCTCCTACCTTCATTCAAAATTAATTTTGTAGGTATACACGTATTTTATTTTCATAGTCATTCACATTTTTTGGATTCATTATTGCTTATTTCGTTAGGACATTCGAAAAATATTGTCATAGAAGCAATTTTTATACATATACCGGGGTTTTTAGGTAAAATCAAATAATGTGACTGCCTCGTTGACCGAGTGGTCGCAAGTGCGACTGCCGGGCAAGGGGTCTCGGGTTCGATTCCCGGGTCGGGCAAAGTACTACTGGGTTTTTATAAATTCTCAGTAGTAGCACGGAGTCTGGAATTGTGCCCGGTATATGGCAATACGCTCACCCCCTATTACATGGGACTCATAACATAAATAGTGAAAAGTGGGTGTTACATTGTCCAGTGGCATAATGTACACCTCTGCCTACCCCTTCGGGAATAAAAGGCGTGATGTTATGTAATCAAATAATGTACAATTATTATTTAGAAGAATTGATGACAGACTACGAGAATGTAAAACAATATATTGCTAATTCCAATATATCTAATATTAAGATGATATAACTAATAATAACATTTCAGAAACAATTATCAAAGGTACATAAGTCTGTATTACAAGACCGCAGCTAACGATCGTTTGAACAAAACTTCTTTTGATATCATAACTTTATAGATGAATAGAATTCACATTATTACTTAAATCAAAATCTAATACTGTTACATCTGTCTATCCAAGGTTTAATATCTGGATAATTAGGACAAAACGTGGTTTAGACACTGTTGAAATTTATTTATTTATTTATTTACACACTTTATTGTAGGTACACCATAAAAATATACATAGAAAAATAAACATAAAAAGAATGTGTACAATGGGCGGTCTTATCGCAGAATGCTTCTTACAGACAACGTTTGCATGGAGCCAGTAATAAGGAGTTAGAAAAAAAAGGGGTCGTCTAGTGTACAATAATAATTAAAGCAATACATTCAATATAATACTATCTATACCTACATACCAAATAAATAATATATACACTAACATAAATAAAAGTACTATATATAATTCATCATCATCAGCAGCCAAAAGGCAAACACTACTAACTACTGGACTTATAATGTTTAATTATAAGTTTGAGATCGCCAATCTGTCTTAAGCAAGTGTGCTGATTAGTGTTCTTGTCATTTTTGTGGGAGAAGAGGCAGTTGGCCAGCAGTGGGACTTACATGCTGTTGATTATGATTATGATTATAATTTTGGCCAAATATAATTGATGCCTTGTTGGCCGTTGACCTAGTGGTCGCAAATGCGACTGCCGGGCAAAGGGTCTCGGGTTCGATTCCCGGTTCGGGAAAGTATTACTGGGTTTAAAAAAAAAATCTCAGTAGTAGCACGTAGTCTGGAATTGTGCCCGATATATGGCAATAATCTCACCCCTCATTAAATGGGACTCATAACATAATTAGGGAAAAGTGGGTGTTACATTGTACAGTGGCATAATGTGCACCTCTGCCTACCCCTTCGTGAATAAAAGGCGTGATGTTATATTATGTTATAATTGATGAAATTATTGATGAAAGAAATAGCAATGATCAGTCCGTTGCGTTTGAAAAGCAACATTTTTGTGTTAAAATATATTTTTTTTGTTTCAGATATCCCGATAAATGCACACAAGAAAACCAAAGCTAGAACAAAAGTGATGAAGTATTGGAGAAGCCACAAACATGGATACTATAGGAGCATTAAGAACTAGCCGAACAAAATGGAGGCTGAACACTTTAATAACTTTATACATACTCCTTTTCACACAATGCAGGGGAGACACGAGTCATGATATAACCAAAACAGATATAAAATTAGATAATAATTTAGATTCTATCCACTGCCATAGCTGTTATAATAATAGTCCTACAGAATCCCATGTAGAAAAATTTGTAGATGTTGTTGATGATATCGTGGGACAACTGAACACATTCACTGATAAACATTTAAATTTAAATAACACAGTAATATATTTAGAGAAGGCTGTCGAAGATATGCTTGATAGAGCACTAAGTAATGATAGATTTAAGATATTTGATGGAGTTGAAGTGAAGCCTGTTGGAGGTAATGATACTAAAATTGAGAAGAAAAGTGATGAAGCTAGAGCATTGTTTAGTAAATACACCTATGAGTATAGAATTTATCAGAAGATAAAGGATTTTGTTAATACGCATATTCTTTCGATCAACCTGCCTATGGCCGCTAAATGTGAGTACTGCTTTCTTATGAGATACTTTTTTAGTTTTAAATGCTTCAATTATGGTTTAGGGCAAAAGTTCTGGAGCTGCGTGCAACCAGTTACCGGTGCTTCGGTTCAAAGCAGGAGTAGGAACCAGGTGGTTTTTTTGTCAGTAAGAGTATATACACTCTCTAACCTCATCTAAGACAAAAGAATGCATTGGATGATTTGCCCCACTTTAAAAAAAGGGTCCAAAATAAATAAAATACAACTGATATTATCTTTTTTCTTGTCCTTGGAGAACCCGAGCTGTCAAAGGCCTTTTCTCGCAACGCTACATTCTCTGTGAATTGGAATTTAACATTTTCGAATACCGACACCTTAAAATTTACCATGGCATTGTCTACTAATTAAAAAAAACTCATCAGAACCACACCCCGAATATTAGATTAGAAAAAATCAAAATTAGACTTTATGACCATAACTATAATTACCACAATTAGACAAAACCAAAATTAGACCGTATGACCATAATACTATTACCACAATGATGTCAAATTAGACATCATATTATAATATCACATTATATCAAAACGTGGTCAACCTGTGAGTGACATTGGTCGCTCTAATTCCGATGTAACAGAGCATGGAAACCGCAATAGGGGTCTAAAGTACCACAAACCCTTTCACGCCATTAATATCTATTGCTCTAATGTTGTAAAGGGGTCTATTTAATTGAGTGTTCGGTTGATGAAGCTGTCACTTAAATTTCAACTTTGCTCCACGTTAAATAGGTCGACTATCTGTTGAGAAATTCAGTCCAAAGTTATTGAGATTCCTTTTATTTATGGAATTCTTAATACTTAGTAGTATCATGGTGTTTAGAATTGTGCCTGCGTGCATGGCAAAAAGAACCCTCTATTGAAAGCATAATGTCGAAATTCATAATACTTACTTAATACATTAATATAACTGGTGAAAACTGTAATGATGTAATCATTACAGTTTTCACCAGTTATATTAATTTCATATAGTTAATTGTTGTTTGTTTGTTAAATCATTCACCGTATACAATAGGGCTAAATAAACCTAAAAATCTATTAAGACTGTCCAGTCTTAGATAGTAAAAGTTTTTTTTTTTTAAAGTTGGTTTTTTTAATGCTGGGTCACTGGGTACGGGTCATGATGACTTAATTGGGGCACTAGCCAGGCATTGTTTTGATGTGGTGGCTATTAACGAAACTTGGTTGCGACCTGGACAGGAGGGAAGGGCTCCTGTGGTGCCAGGCTATCGTCTACGTCACACGCCGCGGCCTATGAGTGTGCGCTCGGGCCGCGGTGGTGGGGTTGCTTTTTATCTTCGCCGGGGATTAAGCGCGCGTATTTGTACTGCGGTGGTTGATCCCATGTTCGAATCAGTTGAACAAATGTGGCTGACACTGACATTGAACGGGAAAAAAATCGCCGTAGGTACGGCCTATCGACCGCCTTGGCTTGACCTGGTCCTATTTTTGGACGCCATAACGGAATCTATCAGTTCACTGGGAGACTGCGACCACTACATACTACTTGGCGATTTTAATGTTAATTTACTGGACACTGTTGGCATAAAGACGAATAAAATTAACGAATTTCTTAATTGTCTCAATCTCACGCAACTGGTTTCCAGTCCCACGCATTTCACATCATCCAGCGAAACTCTCATCGACCTTCTGTGCTCGGATATGATGGCAAGGTTTGTATCCGTGGAACCACTTGGCTCTCTTTATGGCCATTCCATTATAGTGGGTGAATTTCATATTAGGCGAGATAAATTCAAACCATACATAATAAAATATCGGCCTCTTAAAGATGTTTGCATAGATGGGTTGGGGAAGGATTTATCACTTTCAGGCTTGGAGTACATTTCCTTATTAGACAATGTTGATGACATGGTTCATTTCTTTAACACTCACATGATCGCCCTGTTTGATGCTCACGCGCCGGTAAGGACTTGCACGATTAAGGAGAAATCATATCCGTGGATTACTGATACCATAAAACTTATGATGCGTTTACGTGACGATGCACTAAGTGCTTGTAGGAAAAATAAAACAGAGTCTAAAATTAAATACTATAAGGAACTAAAGCGCCTAGTGATTAAGTCATTGCATAGTGAAAAAGTTGCGTACTTCAAACATAATATAAATAATAAAATTAAAAACCCAAAATTATTATGGAAAAATTTGAAATCTACTTTGTTGCCGTTCAAAACTATTCAAGATCTACCGTCTCAATTTACAAATCCTGACCAAATTAACAAAAACTTTTTGATGGTGCCTGGTAACCTTACAGCCAACGAGTCACTGATGACGTTTTATGAGAAAAATAAATACGGTGAAGCTACTTTCTCTATCAGTCCAGTAGAACCGAATGTCGTCTCACGAATTGCCACAAATCTTAAGAGCAACGCTGAGGGCCACGACAATATCACTTTGGACATGATAAATATGACACTACCGCACTCATTAAACGTTATAACTCAAATAATTAACTGTTCCATTGAAACTTCAACGGTTCCCGAGCAATGGAAAATTGCTTCAGTTAGGCCATTACCGAAAAATTTAAACCCAACTGAATTGAAAGATCTACGTCCTATTAGCATTTTGCCGTGTTTGTCCAAGCTATTGGAGAAAGTCGTTAGTCAACAGTTGATTCAATTTTTGGAACAGAATAGTATTCTACCTGACTTACAATCTGGGTTTAGGAGGCAACGCAGTACGTCTACTGCTTTGCTGGACGTTACGGATAATATTCTGGTAGCTCAGGATCAGGGAATGTGTACAGTGCTTGTCTTGCTGGATTTTTCCCGCGCCTTTGACGCAATAAATATTCCCCTATTATTGTCCAAATTGAGTTATTACGGTTTTGCGCCTAGTGCCGTGCAGTGGTTCCGCAGCTACCTCACGAATAGGAAGCAATTTGTCGATTTGCATCTGAGTGATGGCACTACTCTTAGATCATCCTATATGACAGTAGAGAGAGGAGTGCCTCAGGGCTCCATCTTGGGTCCGATTATTTTTATTCTCTATTGTGCAGATATAATTAAATGCATCCATAAATGTAAATACCACATATACGCCGATGATGTCCAGGTTTACATATCTTTCCGTCCAGATGAGTACCATGATGCCATTAAGGATCTTAACGATGATCTACACAGAATTGCCACCTGGTCTGAGGAGCACTGCTTGTCATTGAATCCAACAAAAACCAAATATTTGGTATTTGGCTCAAGACAACAGCTTGCAAAGTTACCTCCATCATTTGACCTGAGATTAATGGGCGAGCAAATTGAGCGAGTGTATGAGGCAAAAAATTTGGGGTTGGTAATGGATAAAGACTTGCGTTTTGAGAGACATGTGGCAGAGTCTGTTAGAAATTGTTTCTATCGCCTGAAGGTCTTATACAGAATGCGACCGTACCTGTCAGTGGCATTACGGGAGCGGCTGATAGAGACCTTAGTTCTTTCTAGGTTAAACTACGTAGACACGGTGTATGGTCCACGCCTGTTAGCACGTACAGATCGGCTCATTCAAAGGGTCCAAAATGCTTGCGCTCGTTTCTGTTACAACATTCCTTGCAGAACCCATGTAACACCATATCTGAACGAACATTTCATATTAAAAATGAAATCCAGACGCAAGCTGCATCTGGCCTGCCTTTTATTTGGTGTAGTTAAATACCAGAAACCGGACTACTTATTCCAAAAATTAAAATGGCTTACGGGCCGGCGGGAATGTGAAAGAAGGCAATGTTCACAGCAACTTACGACCAAGTCATATGGTACAGCCGCTTTCAGGGGCAGCTTTCGCTATGCGGCTTCCAAAGTGTGGAATAACCTCCCACCACCTATTAGAGGGACAAATTCAATGGGTGCATTTAGAAGACGCTTGCGACAATACCTCATCGATACACAGCGAAGGCTTGATATGGTGGTGCAAAATACCTCAATTATATAAGTAATGTACCCGTGCATTCTGTTCATACACACGCAATATAATTTTTATCATATTTAATAAATCTTTTTTGGCTAATTACTATACCCTATTATTATATGTATGTATGTATTATGGTATAACTATATTAATTACTTAATAATTTTATAATACACTTCACACGCTACTCTGCATTTACTGCTTACGTCCGTTGCGTCACAGCCACAGGTTCAGTTGAAAACCAGCGTCAGGCACTAGATGTCTGGCATTTATGCTGAACTGGACCTTTTTTGGTGCAGCTGTCAGGCACATGATTATTGTTGGTATATTTAACTTTTTAAATTTTGTATATA